GGACCAAAATGATTAATGGTGCACAAACTCAAGGACCACTTCTATTTATTTCAAATCTCAAGGACCAAAGTGAGGAGTTATGCAAATCTCAGGGAACATTTTGGCTAAAAAAAAAAAACCTTCTTATTATCCTTGTAGTGTATTATATGTTTTAATTGTCTTAAGTTCCAAATGATGTCAAACGCACACTCGTTTGCACCCATGAATGCCAAAAATAATTCAAATACACACCAAATAAGATTTTGTTTTTTGTGTACTCATTCTTATTGTCCTAGTGGCGTATTATATGTGTTTATTTGTTTAAGTTCCAAACGGTGTCAAACGAACACTCGTTTGTTCCCGTGAATACTGAAACTAGTCCAAGTACACTCCAAATAGGAAAACTTTGTACTTATGACATTGAATAAGATTTAAATATTTTGATTACTCATTCCTATTGTCCTAGTAGTGTATTAAATGTATTTATTTGCTTAAGTTCGAAAGGGTGTCAAACGCATGCTCGTTTGCTCCCATGAATGCCAAAGCAATCCAAATACATTCCAAATTCGATGAATGTTATACAACATGAGTAGTATTATGTTGTTGACATGTGCCACTAACATCTAAGTGAAATAGCCACAATAATGTGACTCTTTCTTCTTTCCAAAAGAATAAATATTCAAACATTTCGCCTTTATACAAGTTTAACAAGAAGGCATTAGATCCGTATCTAAGGATTCAAAGCATCCATCATAATTTATGTTTTCGAGGTGTTACAACTCAGTAGGGTTAGTCACTTGATAAGCTCATATTTATATATATTTTACATCAAATCCACTTGTCTTTTCTTAGTTAGTTCCTTATATTTTTTTAGCTATTTACTTTGTTTTTGTGTTTTGTGTGATTTGTCAAGCAAAGAAAAGAAAAGTAGCACAAGTGGGATATTAAGTAATAAATTGGTCAAAACTGCCTGTGCATATTAGCTGACTTTGGAAGCATGTTGCGAACAGCTCAGAATGAATGAGAGAATGAGCCTATATGCTTGGAAAGCTACGGATGTCTATTTTCTGGAGCAATTCATGGATTGTTAATATCATTTTTCTAGAAGAAGTTATGGGCATTGTAACACTGAAAGGGTAGATTTGGCTAATAAAATGAGAAAGTAAAGGCACTTGTTTTGTGTTTTTCTTTGTCATCAACATTCAGCAGCAAATGGGGTTATGATTGTACTCATTTTCCTTTGGAGCAAGTGGAAATGCACAGCTAGAAAAGAGGATTAAGTGGAAATAGTTGGCAGCCAACGATGCAACAGAAAACAAAGGAAAAAAGTGGAACTTTTCCTTTTGAAAAAAATGCCAACAGCAATCATGAACACAAATGGGTGGAGAATATGGAATTAGCTTGTCTTCCACTTGGTTTTTGTGGCTTTGGCAAAGAAAAACAATCATATAAGACAGCAACATAAGGCACGGTAGAGAAGAGAAAAAAAACACACAACAAAAGAAAGAAAATCAAGGAAGAATCAGAGAAGAGGCATGGCAGAGAGCAAGGAAGGAAGAAAGAAGAAGAGGCTTCACTCGATTTATCTTGGTTTTATCTTCTCAAACCCATGTTTTACTTTTGGTTTAATTTGAGAATTATGTGTAACTAAATTTTTAGTAGTTAGGGACTGTTTTGAAGCCCCGAATATAATTGCAAGTTTGTTATGACATTTCGTTGAATTGCTTTTATGAATGGATGAAAATTGGTTTACTACTTATGTCAGTAATGAATTCTTTATATGTTTTCTATGGATGCATACTTAGTAAGAATATCTAGGATTCAAATGCTATGAATATGTGTATGTCTGCCCTTGTTGAATGAGGACCTACATATGTTCTAGAGTAGTACTTGTTAATTGCGATTAACATGTGAACCAATTTCTAGGATAAGTAAGACAACGCCAGTACTTACCATGCCTTGTGATGACTCAAATGTTGGAAATGTGCCCTAAAACCAATCATGTGATGATACTTTACGGACATTTCACATGTTAAACTAATCTAGTTTAAATATAAAGGGCAAAGATTATTGTTTGAGCCGTCTCATATAAATGTTATATGCTTAAACGATAAGTCCAAGGAATATGTGATTGGAAGAATACGATCTAAAGAAGTTAGATTCATGAGACCATTCTTTCGTAGACACATCCTAAACGTTCCTGATCATAGGATTGCCCATTGGGCATTGACAGTCCGTTAAGATCAGTACATCCTGTGTCTTCTCTCAGGGAGAGTGACTAGTCTCGAGTCATTGGTGTGTGTGACATCAAGACAAGTACATAGGTGCTCAATAGAGAATGAGTTCACTAAACACGATCAACGAAGAGTTCTCATATTCATGTCACATGAGAACTCATGGTTGGGATAATGCAAAGTAGTCCTTTGACTTGAGGCATCACAGTTGTCTTGTGGTTAAGTCCTTGATCTTTGATTATGTCAAAGTCACCCCATCGGGGTGTCCACGGCATCGTTGGGGTTAAGCCACTTACCCATGGAGACAAGTGAACGCGCAACAAGGGATCTCTAACCTTCAAACCGTTTGAGGGAGAATACTCTATGATATGATTTAGAATCTCTAACGCCAGAGTATGAATGAGATTTAGGAAGTCGTTCCAAATCACATTCAAGGTAATCATATAAGCACACGAATCACATTGGATAGTAGACATGAATAAATAAACTATCAAACCAAACAATGTGGTCAAGAGTATTGTATTAGAGAAAGACCGTATTGCATTTGTAGTCCTAAACTGAATAGGTTCTCCACTTCTTCTGATTAGCTTGGGTAACCATGATATGCTGCTAGGTGTCACTCATGGTTTGTTGAAGCCCTAAACGTGTATAATCACTAAAGGGAGAATTGAAAGTAAGTTTCAAATTCACAATCGATTTGAAATGGTTTTAATCGCCACATGCCTCGCTAAAAGGAACCTAATGGATCGTACACCGTGTAAGGTGGAGATTGAAGAAACAATGGAAATGAGTAAGAATAATTAAATGGTTTAATTATATATGGCAAGGATTAATTAATATGTTAATTAATCAAACAAATAAGTTCGTTAAAGACCTCGGGATAGTTTTGGACCTTAAGGCCCAATGGGCTTTGAACGTCAAGTCCATTAACTTAAGTTGTATGACAACTTAATGAATAATGATTCACAAAGGCCCAATTAGTCCAAAAATATCCCAATGGCCGGCCATATTAGAGATGGAGTGGGTTTTGGACTTATTTACAAGTTTGCCACTCCAATGAATTAAGGTATAAATATGACTTTATAGCCAAAATTCAAAAAGGGTTTTCTTTTGGAGAAAATTGGTGAGAACTTGTCTCTCCTTTTCTCTCTAAAGAGGCCGGCCCCTTGTAGGGTGTATCTAGCCATACTAACTACTCCAAGGTCACTCATTTCTTCTCCAATCTAACCTTGGTGAAGATCCTTAGAGGTTCTCAATTTTGGGAACTTGGAGAAACCTTTTCATCCATCCAAATCCATAGATTTTAGATGCAAGGAATGAAGGCCCTCTCTTTGGGTGATTAGCCTTTGCTTATGCAAAGAGGAATCTACAAAGGTATAATTTCTCAACTCACTTTGTTTTTGAGTTGAGTCTTGGTTCACCAATCTACTAGGCTTTGAATTTCATGGGTAATGTTTTGTTTTTGAGTGCATGAAAGCATGATTCCGCCTTTAATTGTTAATTGCATGCTATATGATGTTGCTCAAATGAACATGTTTTCACAAAATCATCCTTCATCAAACTCTGAAGGTCAACTTCCAGTTTTGTGTTTATGTTTGGAGGTGGTGCAATAGCTTGGAAAAGTGTCAAACAAAAAACTGTGGCTATCTCAGCAATGCATGCCGAGTTCATGGCATGTTTTGAAGCAACTATGCATGGCATTTGGTTAAGGAATTTTATATCAGGTCTGCAGGTTGTTGATAATATAGCAAGACCTATTCAGTTATATTGTGACAACAAGTGAGCTGTTTTCTTTTGCAAAAACAACAAGAGATCTTCAGGACTCAAGCATGTTGACATAAAGTTTTTGAAGGTTAGAGAGAAGGTGCAAGAAGGAGTCACCATGGTTGATCATATCAATACCGTGGACATGATTGCAGACCCATTGAATAAAGCTATCTCTAATGTAGATTTTCTAAAACATGTCACAAGCATGGGAGTTCTATCAAGTTTCGAAGATGTCATACAATAATGGGAACTTGAGTTGTTCTTGTTTGTTAGTTATCTGTTTCAGTTTTGAAAATTTTTCTTTTGTTTGAGATTTCATGGATACGCATTAAAGAATAATATGTTTTGTTTCTACATAATTATTACATTCCAGTTAGCTAATTTTGCTATATATCAAGATTGTTCTTTTGACATAAGGGCATATTTTTAAGCATTAAGGAAGATCACTTTGTGATCGTAAAGAGGACCATATTTGTTAAGTGTGATATTCACTATTAAGCTCACTTATCATATATATATGCTTGTCCATGACTTGTTGGTACTTTATGTGAATATTGTTGCTTGTATGTGATTATAGAGGTATGTATTCGCTCTATTGGATATCATGGTCTATAGTTCTACAAGCTAACGATATATTTGACACTAAGTTTGGAAAGATATTGTTATCAAATGATCTACCAAAGTTGCATGCATAAGGAAATCAATTCTTGATCCTAAAGAAAGCTTTTGAATAGATGTCTCGCCCAAGTGGGAGAATGTAAGACTTTTATTGGGCTTACATCTATTTAGGAGTTCTATTTGATTAAGGATACAAGATAGGGAGAAATATTTGGTAATCCCGGATTACTTGGTGGTGAAGTAAACTTATAATGATTGGGAATATCTTTCCTATATTAGGTCATGGTTTCTAGTAGGTGTTAAAGATATGTATTAGTGTTTTCTTTATGGGCAAGAAACCTAATATACTCACCTATAAATATATGGCTTAGGTCCCCACTCTTATACACACATTCTAGCACAAAACTCTACCCCATATAGGAGTGCATAAGGCGTGTACTAGGAGCGGAAGATCTTTGCTTGTTGCTGTGTTCGTGGTTCATCATTGAGCTTGGATTTAATGGCTTCACAAGGTTAGTACTTTTAGTGTGCATATTAAAGTTAACTTACAAGCATATTGTCAATGATTCTTGGAAAGGGTTTTGATTTATTTTAGTTTGTTGAGTTAAGAGGCTGGAACAACTGTGATGATGATTGAGGTTTGAAATACAGAATATAGATTTGGGGTACGAGCAGAGCATCCTTGTCAGTTGTCCCACAACCGAGGGGATGTAAAAGAATACGTAGATAGATAGAGAGGTATGTTTGGTACTGCATCTGGGAATGTCATCGAATGGGATTTTTCTGGTTTGATTTCAATTTTTGAGTGGCTTTCTTTCTGCAATATTATTATTGTTTGATAACTGATAAACGATCATCAGCGGCGGGTGGAGCACTTGAAAGCCCCACCCCACACAGAACCTGGAAAAAGAAAGGGCCCTCAACACAACTCTCTCTCTCTCTCTCTCTCTCTCTCTCTCTCTCTCTCCCCCTTTCTCTCTCATGGCCAAGCTGCGCTCCCCTATCGTTAGTGCAGCTATATGAATAGGCATAACTTTATCTACTGACTTCATGCCACATTACGCAATTCATTTAATACATGTCAAAACTTACAACTCCTTATTTTGACCTCATGTCAAACTGTATTTCATGATCTGTAATCACTAATCACATCATTAACACTAAAATATTTTATATATCTTTTCTTAAGCAATGCATCATATCATATCCCTGCAATAGGATGTACCATGCTAGCATGATTTTTTACTAAGTTAGTCATTGTACTTACATATGTTCCAACAAAGTTGAAAAAGGACCATAATGAAATTTTAGAGCTAGCCCAGGTTCCAACCTTTTGTTTTATTCTCATCCGAACTTCACATGGAATAACAATTTGAGTAATCTTAAGTTTTTTTTTATCGTCTACATTTTTCTGGGACCAAGAGAACAAATGGATGGGTTTGTTTTCCAATTGAGAAAGCTAAATTTTATTCCTTTGTGTGTTCTACTAAATGCTTATTTATGTTGTGTAGAGTTGTTGAAGAATTGAGATTTTCTACTACGATTATTTATGTTGTGTAGAGCTGTTGAAGAATTGAGATTTTCTGCTATGAAATTATGCATGTGACGATTATTTATATAAAATACAGGAAAATAGGTGGTAACGACCTTGTTGCTCTCTGACTAGGTATTGCTATTGGATTGGTCTTGCAATTCCTTAAGACTAGCTATTCTTTGGTTAAACCTGAACCTACATGTTAAGTCCTCCTATCTCTGTCATCCAGTATACATGTTCCCTTTCTTTCTCATTTATCTTTGTAATTGACTTTTCTTGCAGTGCTAGTTGAATAATATTGACGAAGTGTCTAGCATGTTTATAAGAGCTCCATAAATGAAAAACAAAAAGCTGAGAGCGCAACGGATTTGCAAAAGGAGAATGAAGATGTTATTGCACAATTGAAGGTCTTTTGGCTGCAAGTTAGGGGTAGACAAATAGCACAGGGTAGACTTTTTTTTTGTTAGCACCTCAGTGTTTACAGGTGTTGAATTGCTATTACGTTGAGATGAGAGACCGAGTGTGTCCGACTGGTACTTTTTAGTTTTGTGGATGTTCATGTTAGGTTCTGAGATGTCATTTGGTGTATATTTTCGACCTATGTGATTGAATTCTTTATTAATAAAAATGTGATTTACTGAAGTACTACCTTACATTTGTTATGAATTCTAATTTCAAATTATGAAACAAGGAATATGTGGTAATTAGTTCATCACATATTAGAAACAAATGGGTATAACTTTGACAAATGTGACGCACACATATCAAATAAATAGGTGACGATTTTAGCCTCACTTACACATATGATATGTGACGGATTTATACGTCACCGAATTATGTTTTTTGTGACGCTAACTTTGTCATGTATCTCCTGAATCCGGTATTCAAATCAATTAATAGGTGACGAGTGTAACATTCATCACGTACTTTCGGTGACGCCTTATAGGTGGCGCTCGCCATGATGCCGAAAATGCGTCACATATTATCAAATGTGATGCATTTTCTCTTGTAACGAGTATTTGTCGTCACATAAGCCATGTTTTCTTATAGTGAGGTCACTCCTCCTGAGAGAAGACATAGCACGTATTGATCTTATTGACCGTCAATGCCAATTGGCAATTATAATCAGGAACGTTTAGGATATGTGTACAAAAGAGAACAGTCTCATGAATCAAACTTCTTTAGATCACATATTAAACAAATTTAGTTTAATATGTGAAATATCCGTAAAATATCATCATATGATTGGGTTTAGGACACATTTCCAACATTATTGACTTTTAAATTTCTCCAAGCTAGTTGAGGAACATATTTGTACAATTTGTGCAACATCTTTACCTTGAGCACCCCATAAAAAGTGATTTTTTTTTAACTTTGTCAGGTTCTTGTTGAAATCCTTCAAGGCTACAATCTCTGTCAATGCATGAGCTCACCCTCATCGTCTCTTTAACTTCCTGCATAGAGGCTTTAACATTTGGATCCCCAATTTGCCGAAATCCTCGAATTGGTCTCTCACCCTACGAGAGAGAAACTTCCAAGAACAAAAGAAGTGGGATTGGACAAGCCAACCAGTCATGATCAGAACGCAATTCATCAAATGATCAATTAGCTCTTTGTCAAAGAAATTACACATATCAAATAATAATATAAAAAAGCACTCAACTTTTTTCATAAGCCAAAAGCATCCATCTGAATAGTAAATTCAAGAAAGATAGGATAATGCTAAATTGCGAACTCTACAACTGTGGACAATCAGAGTTTGTTCGAGCATATAAATGAGTAATGAGACGAGAAACTTTCCCTTTCGATTAATTAGAATTAGAGGAATGTTTAAGAAGGATAACATGAAATTATTGAGTTTTAATTACAAGATGGAACAATCATGGAAGCGCTGCTTGAAACGACGCCGCCTCATCTTCCCATCCCTCCGTTGGTCTTGTTGTTGTATTCCTTTGAATTCGTGCGACCTCGTCCGCTGCTGTCGGTCCTTTCACTTGTTCGACTTTTGCTTCTTCTGGAATTTAGTAGAAACACATAATTATTAATATTATTATATTATTCGGCTGCTTCAACATGTTACACCACTACAAGTATATGCTTAATGCTTTATGCTATTTGCATTTTGTATGTATGTGTGTATGCATGCATGTATGTTCTCCTTCCCCCATTCAACTTTTGGTGCCCTTCCCTTGTTAGAAAATAAGCTAATTTTCAGTTTGAAAGTGATTTTTAGAACTATGAGGAGTCATAACTAATTAATCATAACAAATATGATTTTGGGAATGAACAAATAAAATTAAAGGAAATTTACCCTATTTTCGTTTACAAGAACTTTTCGTAACAGATTAAGAGCATTTACCCGTTCACACAGTTTTAGGTAATCCCCCTCCTCAAGTATTTAAGCATCCAAAAAACAAGCTAGAGATCTTTTCGTAACTGATTAAGAGCATTTGCCCGTTCATGCGCGGTTGTAGGTATTCCCCCCTTCTCCCATATCTCAAGCATCTAAAAGACAAACTTATGTTTGAAATTCTATTAAGGCGCATGGCTGGTTTATACTAAGAATTCGTTGGCAGGTGGAGGAAAAAGTCTTGGATTGCATTGCTAGTGTAAATTCCCTCCCACCAAGGATTCTATCTTGGCCCGGAAGACAATAACTCCACTCCCAGCGAATCATTTAAAATAAGCAAAAAAGAAATGGGTATCGGATTCTTAGCTTTCCCACGTTCACGATGAGTGACAACATTTGTGGCAACCGGTCACGCCACAACCCACCCAAAAAAAATTAAATAAAAAAATAAAAACTAAAATAAAACAAAACAAGTTACTGTCTAATAAAAGAAAGCTATTTATAAGTTTCATCAGACCAGAACAAGCATCCGTGATCCACCTTACCATTTCAGACTCCCACCAATGCAGTATGAAGAATTAGTTATCCCGAAAACCTATTTTTCAGAAGAACAAAGAAGAAAAACAGCAGTAACACACAACCAGTCCGCCCCGTCGATGCATGAAAAACCCATAAACCACACTGCAGATGCTAGGAGTGGCAAACCCAACGCCTTCTAAGGGCTTTGGACCAGCATCAATTGGAGGATCCTCCCGAAACTTGTGTAACTCTAGGTGAAGGGGAAACGTATAACGAGAGGGGCATTTTACACAAAAAAGCGGCGTTCAATTAGCAGTGGCATAAAGCAACAACTTACCTTCCTTCTTAAAGTGAACGGAAAATCACCTTTTAGGAGGTTAGGCTTGGGCAAACCAAGGGAAACATGATTTTAAAACGAAAACTGCCTATTTCATTTTCATGGTTTAAGATAATAAACAACAGAACTACAATATCTAATGCACGACAAGATCACATTAACAAGAGATACTATAACTTGCAATATTAACAATGATAATCACCAATAAGCAGAAATATCAGATTCAACCAATTGTTTTAGGTTCGTGATTCAAAAAGAAGAATGAAAATACCAACGTACCGTAACAGACGCTACCAAACAGGAACTATGGAGAGACAGCAAACAAGTAGATACTAAAGGGACAGTACCACAGATAATGCATACAAGAAAATAGACAGTGTGAACCAACCAAAACCTAGCAAGACCAAATGAACATGTCCTAATGGGATACGAAAATCTCTTTATAAACTTTAGTTTTGGTCCTCACTTGGCCATCATGACTTTGACGAACTCCTCATAGTTGATCTGCCCATCACCATCCACATCAGCCTCACGAATCATCTCATCAACTTCCTCATCTGTCAGCTTCTCGCCTAGATTTGTCATAACATGACGAAGCTCAGCAGCAGAAATGAAGCCATTCTGGTCCTTATCGAACACTCGGAAGGCTTCCTTGAGCTCCTCCTCAGAATCGGTGTCCTTCATCTTCCGGGCCATCAAGTTAAGGAACTCTGGAAAATCAATGGTCCCATTCCCATCAGCATCAACCTCATTGATCATATCCTGAAGCTCGGCTTCAGTTGGGTTCTGCCCAAGTGAACGCATGACAGTCCCCAACTCTTTTGTAGTGATGCAACCTGAATCAAAATTTAACAAAACAAGTATTAGTGTGGAATACAGCAAAGAAATTGGTAATAGGGCTTTAGGCAGATAACTATGCTTCTTTTGTATGATGAGTGGGAAACTGTAGCCGGGCATACTAGCACAAAAAAAACCACTGTCCTCCCCCTAACTTTAATTCTAATACATTTTAACTGTTATGATTGTTGAGGGAATTCCGCCTAAACTGACAAAAGAAAAACACACACATGAACTAAAAAACTATCGCATTTCAATCAAACAACGCTTTCAATATTGCACACAACATGTATAAGGCAAACAATAAAAAGTAAAACATTCATCCAGATTTCCATATTCAATATCAAAATCAGTCAGGAAAAGACAAAATCATTTCACCGTTGTCCAGCCCAAAACCACCCAACCATGAGTAAAAGATTGAGAACATACAAAAAATTGTTCATATATATTGATAGACGTAAACCCTCATGAAAGTTTGCATTTCATGCTATCCATAGGCGACAGAAACATAGAATAAATCATTTTTGCATTTATACATATACAAACACACACACACACACACACACACACACATATATACATAACATTGCTTTGTGATCCCAATACAAGAAGAATTAATTTTGCAGCTCCAAACCCATAACAGAGAAATTGAATCAAAAACCCACTATCAATGGAGGAAACGAATCTGAGAATCGTAATCTATCCATATATTTAAATTCCACACATTTAACCTCAAATCTAACAGATCTTATCCTCCACGATCAAAACGCACTCGGAGGATGATAAATCAATTCAATCGCTGAAAAATACTCAATCAATCACAAATTTTCACCAGAAAAAGATTAAGGTTTGATGCAATAACAGCTTTAGATCCAAATATCATAGATTAATTAGGCATAATAAGAACAAAAGGGAAAGAGAGAGAGAGAGGGATCTGAGTACGAGACCATCGCCGTCCTTGTCGAATAGGCTGAACGCCTCCTTGAACTCGGAGATCTGGTCGTCGGTGAGCTGATCGGCCATCGTTGAGAGTGTTTGGCTTCCGAGAAAATCACAGAGAAAGTGTCCAAAAGGAAAAGGAAAATACGTCTGTGCGTGTCTCGAATGTGGAAAAATGTGAGAGACGGGTAGGCATTATATATCAAAAGAAAGAGTGGTGGTCCATCGGCATCTGATTCTCTCTCAGCCGCGCACGTATACCTTCTATTTGATTTGAACCCAGAGATTTCAATTTAATATTAATAAAAGCATAAAAGTTATCTCTATTGATTAATAAAATTCTTATTGTCAACCAAAATAGGGTGAAAAAACAAATTAATTTTTTATCATACAAAAAAAATGATGGGCAATAATGTAATTTTACAGATCCAAATTTTACTATTTTTTATTGAAGTCTCACCTATAGGTGATGTTAAAATACCTCCAATATTAAAAAAAAAAAACCGAAAGGACCATATTAATAAAAGTATAAAAGTTATCTCTATTGATTAATAAAATTCTCCTTGTCAACCAAAAGAGGGTGAAAAAATAAATTAATTTTCTATCATACAAAAAAAAATGACGGGCAATAATGTAATTTTATATATCCAAATTTTACTG